AACGAAAAGATCTCGATCAATCATTATTGCAACGTGCCGATCATTTTGTTTCGGAATGGGACCAAAACGTGGTCAGATCCCACGATCGAAGTCGAACCGTCGAAACGTGTATCACGCCGGTGGATTTCTGTCATACTTTCGCGTATCTGCACCTGTAATAAAGCTTGCAACGATTATATCTGTTGGCACGGCCGGATCATCTATCCTATAGCCTGCGGACTTGGCAGACTGATTGCCCTTAATACACATATAATTTATACCGAAGAGAGGGATGATAGGACGTTGCATCTAATTGGATTCCGTTCACGTATATATACGTACACGCATATAAATATTGACTTAATATAATAATCATCGGTGCGTTGTGTTGCCATTACCGAACGAGCCACAAGATTAATTCGCGTTCCGTAATCGGCGTGTTAATAACACTTCCTTTTCTTTCTTTTGCGGTCAGCCGATCCAACGATCCATCTTCTCGTGTCCTCGTGTGCTCGAAATAAAACCGGCATATTTGTCACGATTTTCATCTTTTACAACCAAACAACCCTTTCACTTCTCCGCTATTTCATTCCCTTTTCCGCTTGATTACAAATAAAAACAAATTTCGATACGAAATTTCTCCTCCATCTTTTCAAAAACCGTATTATTAATTTATATTACATCTCTTAAGGTTCCTCGATTAAAATATAATCGATTTTTATACAAATTTTTCACGTTACTCTTTTTTCGCGTATACTTTTTACGTATTATAAGCGATACACGAAATTTAATGTTATTCACGTAATATTATTTTTCAATAATTATCAATTAAAAATCGATTAAAATATTTCTAAATATTTAGCGATTATCGCGCAAATTAAAAAACTGAATTAAAAGCGTATTAAAAATTAGAAAAACTTTGAATGGTTACAGCTTCGAAGATAGTTGAAACGCTTTTCGAATTACCCCGATACCACTTCCGGTTCCCGAGATATCGTCGCGCGATCGAAAAGATAATTTTTACTATCCTCATTCTCGTCGCTTACTCGGATCTCTCGTTTCCCAAGTTTCAGACAAGTGGCAGACGCGATTCCTGGAAGTAAGCACTTCTAGGAAAAGATATAAGTCACCGAGTCCATTCATAATCTCCGTATTATGTTAAGCGCAGCGGATACTTTGATTCCTTGCATCTCGGCAATCGATCGAGAAATAAAGCAAAAAGTAACTTCAACGGGGTATGCTTTCCTCTCTCTCTCTCTTTTTTTTTACACGAAAACTTTGTAATTTTCTAACTTGAATTAATGGATGTAATGTTGTGATGTAAATAATATCTTATTTATTGTCGAATATCTGCAAACGCAAGATTTTTTCTTTCTATCGCGTTTCATATCATTATATATCGATGGCAGTTTTCAGTAAGAAACATAGTGTTTATATAAGTTTTTACTCGCTTTTACTTCTTACTGCGCTCGTGATAAATTTCTACGATAATGGGATGCAAAACTCCGATTCATTAGCGAAAGAGAAAAAAAAAAAATACTATTGCGTTAATTAAAATGACAAAGGAATTACACAAAGGAATAATTTACCGCGACGTTTTCCTCTGCGATCGTAATCACGGTCAGATCTTATTCACGCGCAGAATCGTGATCACCTCTTCTTACGCGACATAACGGCTCATCTATCACTTTCATTTACGAGGGCAAAAGGCACGTTCGTCGTCTACGATTCGTGACGCAATACTCGTTTATAGGTCAGTGGTGAAAAAGGCGCATACGTTAACTCGACGTCGGTTTGCCGGAAAATCTTTCGCGCCTCATTGATTTATAACTTGGCTACATCCGTAAACCATCTGAAATTTTGTAACTTTAAACTTTATTTACGTTCTCGCAGGTAACAGTATGTACTCGTACATACGCGAAGAAAATATTTGTCACGTACCAGCGTGAAAATATAAATTTACGTTTCTCGTGTACTTTATCTTTACACGACGATCGATCGCTTACCTAATACTTTACATTTCGATGTATATAAAGTTATTATTATATAAATTTTTCGCTACTATTCGCAATCGAATCGCCACGTTGTGGACTAGGACGTAGGAGAAAAGAAATTTTTAATTTGCATAAGACGCGTGGAAAATGCTATTACCGTTTAAATTGGCCACCGTACGTATGTACACAATGTCGAATTACCATACAATCGTAAAACTCTCGACTCTCGGTAAATAATCGATGATCGAGGTGTAGGTATCGATTGCTCTCGGTTGCGAATTAGACGGGGGAAACGCGGTGGATTAGGAATGATGTTAGAGGGGAAAAATTCGAGGAATACGAGGCAGGCAGATACAGTTATAACGCGGCCAAGAGTTGACCTGACATATCGGTAACAATGCTTAGGCGTGTCGCGGCCGTGTTGCAACCGATTTCAACAACTATCGTCCGTATTGGCGTCGACGCGTGAGCATTGCTCGCGTCCGCACGTGCACGTTCCTCCGCCGGATAACAGCGTATACGTGTAGCGCGCGTGATGTCGAACGGCACAGATATAGGCGCAGCTGCTAGTAGCGTCCACGTCATATCTACGATACCAGTTTTGCAGCAGCCGGTCGTCGCCACGAAGATGCGTTAAATGTCAAGGCGAGGACACGGTGGAGTTTTGTCCTGGTGGAGGATAGATCCTCGCCTTTTATGCGATCGGTCAATGAGCTCCGCGAAAGGAACAACGCGCGTCATCCAAAGCCTATCTTTTATCCGGAGTTCGTCTTCGAAACGCGTCGCTTGGGGCGTCGATCCGAGAGAGAGAGAGAGAGAGAGAGAGAGAGAGAGAGAGAGAGAGAG